GCCAACTCTGACCTCGTCCTCTGAGACCGATTTGATTGAGATGGTTCGGCCTCGGCGGGCCTCTTCTCGAGGACAGAGGTGGTCTTCCCGCTCTCGGCCAATTTTGAAATTGGCAAGGTGTCCTCAGTGTCAATCTGAGTCACCGTTGCCTTAGACTAGGCCTTTTTCATTCTTTTGGGTTTTGGCTTTGGTTGAGGCTAGGATTGTGCTGGTTGAGCTGTGACAGTATCAAGGATATCGGCTAGGAGATCTTCTGCAACTACCTTCTTGCGACCCATCTCGGCAGGAATGAATTACAGTTCGACGTCGGTGTTGGGATGGAGGGATCAGCTATGGAGCCGAGGTAGATGGTTGTTCTGCTGGATCTGAAGTTGACCCCTGATCTGGCCGAGATGATGAAGTCACTGGTGGAGTTATGGCAGAAGGAGGAGACTTGCTTTTCTACTTCCTTAGGACGTCGGGAAGCACCGACTTGTAGGTCGGGATGAAGTTGAGCAGTAAAGGAGCTCTCCGCCTGTGGACTGGAAGATCCAACAACTTCTTAAGATCCTTGCTGGAGAAGAAGGACTTACGAAAGTCTTTTGGTGGTTGTGGTAGAGTTGCAAGAAAAATAGACGTTAGAACATATGGAAAGAACAAAGAATTAAAAGACTTGGAAAAAATACAACACTTGGCTCTTACCATTACCCTCTACGAATACTGTTCGGCTGAGAGGGTAGAGGTGAAGGACGTCATTTGGAGCAAACTCCCAGTTGCCCGAGATAATGAAGTAATCATCCCTGGCTCCCTTGTTGGAGTCTGGGTGGTCGGCAACAAGTTTGCACTCGGTGGACCTCGATTTGAGGTAATAGATATAGCCTTTTTCTAACTTGTGGCCACACATAGTGTAGCAATATTGAATGTCGGCCAAGGTTACCCTAGCTTTTTCTTGGCATGCTAAGGCAATTATACCATTGATAACTCGATAAGAGTTAATGGCAAGCTGCATCGGGTTTAATTTGTAATAATGGAGGACTTCTCGGAAAAGGATGTCTAGTGGAAACCGAAGTCCGCACTCAATAAAGGCGACGACTGGGAAGGGCATGGAGTCGACTGTGGGCATAATGGAGTCGTCTTCCCCAGCCAACCTAAGATGAATGTCGGCTGGGATAAAAAATTCTTGCCTAAAGTATTCTAGCCTGGTTGAGGTGTCTACCCTATGCTTCCACATACCCATGATGTCGGCTTGGGGAAGGGTGTAGGATTTCAGAAAGAAGTGTTTTTTAAAAGGTTTTGAAGGACCTCGGCTAAAACCTAAATAGGTGCTGGGGCAAAAATTTGTGGGGATCTAAGGGGAATTCATTTCAGTTTTTCCTAAAATTTGTGGGTTCTACAAACAAGTCCCAAACCTAGATCTATGGAAACAAAGGTTGAAGGCACGAATCTGGAAAAGACACAGAAAACAGAAAACAAAGAACGTGTTTCAGAATCGAGAATGGTGATGAAACCATCAAGAAACGCAAGACAAAAGTTTGCACAGGTGTGTAAGGCCAAGAACAGTGACAAAAATCAACAAATGTGTGATCAATGTGTATATATTTTAGAGCGGATTGAGCAAAACGGAACCATGGAACAAATATACTTAATACGTGGGTCGAAATTACAAGCACAAATGAAGATCCAAGAACATGAATACAATCACAGTGGCGATATACAAACGTAACGATATAAAGTGAAATAAGAAATTGAATCAAAGAAAAGAACAGTGACTCACCAAAGAGAAATAAAGCCGAAGTAAAGTTCGCCGGGATCAAATGGTGGCCGAAAGCAAGGAAATGCAGTAGAAGCCTCGCCGGAGGAGAGAGTGAGACTGGTTGCAAAAAAAACTTGACGGAAGCAACAATGGGGAAATTTAGAAGGTAAGAGAGAGAGAGTTTGAACAAAGATGATGATGTGAAGTGAAAAGATGAAGAGAGAGGGAACAAGTTTTGTCAAAAACGCGAAGAGGCGGCAAAATGCAATTGATGTGCCTAGAACGACGTATTTGTCAGACAACGCACGCAGGCGTGAGGCGACTTAATGGCGCGTATCAGACACGGTCCAATGGGGGACAATCGCATGGTAGAAACGGTTGAAATGTTGTGCGTAACAGCTTATGCGCGTAATAAAACTCTTGAAATTCTTGATCTAATGAAGCAATGACCTCAGCTGGTAGGAATATCTCGGCTAAATAACTTGAACAAACTAGGTTATTGGCTCTCAGGCCTTGATGAGACAGAATACAGGACCTGGTCATGTGAAGCCAACGAATTATGACCTCGGTAATGAAGGACAGAGCCAGTTTAGCTGACATGCTAATCAGTTTGCAGAGATAGGTTCCATCACCTTAGGATGCCGAGGTAATAGAACCTGGGGGACAGTTATGGAGACATATTTTTCTAATACCAACACGCGGCCAAGGTGACGCCAAAGTGTCAGCCGAGGTGCCACGTGTCCTGGTCATGACGCCAAGGTGATCTCGGATAGTCCGAGGTTATCTCCAAAGATATTGGAATCCGGGATAAGCGGATAAGGGAGAAGAGTCCTAGAATGGAAGAAGACTATAGTTTGGATAAAGATAAGACTCTTAGAGAGTTTTATCCCAATCCTACTGGGAGTCCAAGATTAGCAGTAATCAGAATCTATTGGGACTAGATTTGTGTTGGCTATAAAAGAGAGGCACCCTCATGGGCCTAAGGTATGTTTTTTGTATTCCGAATAGTGAGTTAAGCAATTTTGCTATCTTTGAGAGATAACTGACTTGATCGTCGGAGTGCCCCCGGGTAGACGAACCACCACCGGAAACTCTTCTTTTTGTTGACAGATCGTTCAAGCTTAATCTATTCTGTCAGTTTTCTCCAGTTGAATACTAATTTGGTAGTGTAGTCAGAAATTCACTCACACATAAATCATAATCCAACCAATTAAACATGCGGATAAGATACTATGACCCCGTAATTCGGGTAAGTTTTTTTGACAATTTTTTTTAGGCCTCTATGTTTTTTAAAGATCTTGACATTTGTCATAATTATCGTGTAGTGGATTTTAGAGTGCAATGAGATCTGGGGTTCAACTGATCGAGTCATTTGATACATAGTGTATTGCGTGGGGGAATCAATTGTTTGTCCCCCACCTAAAAAAAAAAAAAAAATGTATGATTTTTAAATGCACCAATGATAGGTATCATGAAAAATCTTTCATGAAAATGATCATGAAAGATTTGTGACCTTTGGATTACACTTACAATAAAGCACCACACACTAATCAAGGTAATCTAAGAGTCACAAATTTTTCATGATCATTTTCATGAAAAAAATTTCATGATCCCTAACATTTCTCTTTTAAATGAAACACATCACAAAAAAATATAATAAAGAAAAAAAAGAAAAGAAAGTATGTTCCTGCCATTTTGAAAGGATTAAAGAATCACTTAATCAACAACAAACACCTTTTACCATTATAAGGGAAAGGTTATTATATGTATTGTTTTTTTAATACATCTTATGTAAAAAGTATAATTTTTATCATAAAATATATAATTTTTTTTTACATAAAAATTATAAGTTTAGTTATATATAATTTTTAGGTGGACATCATAATTTTACAATTCATAATTTCATCAGAAAAAATTTATAATTTTTCTCACAAAAATGATGCAAGTGGACATTATAGCATTTTCATATTACAATTAGGGAAATTCTAATATGCACACCCTTAAAAGGAGTGTACCATATGTACTCTTAATTATGTCATTTTCTTGTTTAGTTATGACATTATTTTATGACTAATGAAATTTTTAGTTATGGCTCATATATTGTATTTAGTTATGATAGTTTTTTTTTAGTTATGACTCAAAAAATATGAAATTATATTATTTTCTTCTTTAATTATAAAGTGCATATGGTACACACTTCCTTTGAGATGAGTAGCATAGTTTTTCCCTATAAATTAACTTTCCTACTAACATTTGGCAAGTTGGGTTTGGACTTTTTATTAGCTAAAATTTTACAAAAAGATAAAATAGGCTAAAATAGTCAATAAGATAAAATGTCACATTAAATCTATAATCATTTTACTTTTTCTCTCATAAACATTATATCCAATTATAAAAAAAATTCAATCTTCCCAAATACAATTATTTTAGCCTACTAAAATAATTAAAAACTAATATAACCTACTAAAATAACCAACATTCCAAATGAGGCCTACATTGTAAATAAAGAAAAATTCTACTATATACACCACAACCTTATGCACTCTTAAGTTATGCAATATTCTTCTTTAATTATGATTTTATTTTAGTTATGACTCGTAAGATCTTTGATTATATTTCATGTGTTATTTAGTTATGATTTTTTCATTTTAGTTATAACTCAAAAAGTATAAAATTATATATTTTTTAATTATAAAATAGATATGATACATACTTTTTGATGTATATGCCATAATCTTTCCCGTAAATAAATTATTGAAAGAAAAAGAGAAAAAGAATTCTGAAAACCCAATTGATCAACCCCCCTCCATTTTTAATAAACAATATTATGCAGACTGTTTCTGTAGCCATGAAGCTCATATTCTATGGTGGAAATGTGAGTTTAGGTTAAAATAAATGAGGAAAAAATATGTTAAAATAATTAATAATATAAAATTTTATATTTAAATAATAATATTTTTTAATTTTTTTTTCTCATAATCACTAAATTAACTATAAAAAAAAAGTCAATTATCATCTTAAACACAATTTTTTTAATAAATTAAAATAATGAAAAAAATATATATATTTAAAGAACCAGCGTATTTTCAAACGGCCCGGGGCCTTGTCTCATCTTCCCTTGCAGGGTTGTTTCTTGAACTCGCCGGCAGTCATCTATGTATATGTATATATATATTTATGTCTCTTTCAATCCAACCAAAAAAAAAAAAAACACGGCATTTGGAACATAGTCGGCCATGTCCAATTTCAAAACAAGAAGGTTAAAAAAGGACTCTCTCTCTCTCTCTAACTAACCAGAGACAGAGAGCTACCATTGATGCAAGATTTTTTTATTTTCTTTCCTGTTCTTGAACAGAGAAACCCAACAAGAAACAGAGTCAAAGACATTATTATGTTCTCTGTCAAATCACCGTCTTTTCTTCTTCTACCAGTCTTCGTCATATTCTCTTCAACCTTGTTTTATTCATTCTCTGATGGAGCTTCTCAGAATCTTCACCTTCAAACCATTCACATTTCAGGCAATTCTTCTATTCCTTCTTCTTTACACATCCATTAACTAATTTCTTTTTGAAAAAAGATGTATAATCGATTGCGGTGTTTTTTAATTGTAGGAATAGCCAATGAGAGTGAATATGGAGTGGTTTCGTGGGGATCGAGGTGGTCTGTTCTTGAGGGACCATCTTTGTTTTTGGCTGCTGAGAGAACTCACAGGAAAGATCCATTTGATAATTTCAAGTACTACACTGGTGGATGGAATATTAGTGATCATCATTATTTCTATGTAAGTCTTTTTAAACCCTTGTTTCATTTCAGTATCATGGTTTCTTTTCTTGTCTTTGATATTGTGATGGTTAATGTTAAATTCTAGATCAGTTATCTCTTATGGGTTTTGTGTATAAATAAGGTTTCAGTTTATTTGATTCTTTGATTTTGGCTGGAGTTGTAATATTCTTAGAAATTTTGTATTGATTGAGTTGTTCTTTCACTTGGATTTCCCTCTTTTCTCTTTCTTTTAATTTTACATGGATGAAAAATTTTAGAGTTCCTCAATAAAATCCCTCATCTTGATTCTTTCAGACCCATTTAACAATTTTAAGTACTACATTGGTGGATGGAATATTAATCAAACTATTTCTATTAAGTCTTTCAAAACTTTGTCCCATTTCAAATCAGTTTTCTTCTTTTTCTTTTCAAGGGTTTTTCATAATTTTTGTGCTTATACAACCTTGTTTCATTTCAATATCAGTGTTTTTTTTTTTTCCCCACTGATTTTGTGACAGTTAATTATAAGGTAAAACTCTACGTCATTTGTCTCATATTGGTTTTATGTATTAATAAGTTTTCAGTTTATTTGATTCTGTAATTTGGGTTTTGGCTGGAATTGTGACATGCTTAATTCTTTAATTTTGGTTTTGTGTATTTCAGTTTTTTGATTCTCCAATTTGGGCTGGAATTGTGATATGCTTAGAAATTTTGTATTAATTGAGTTGTTCGGGTTTCCCTCTTTTCTCTTTCTTTGATTTTGCATAGGCGAAAAAATTAGACGTAAATGTTTTGCATCTGTCATCTCGTATTGTCATCTTCTATGTGTGAGCTTTTGCTGTGAAATTCACTTTTGTAATCAATGATGAATAGCGATTTTGGTCCTTCTCACTTTAATGTGGTTACTAACTGGCTATTTGATTCGTTTACTACATGTTCTTTAGCCAGACCCCGCTTTGGCTCACGCATCGTGCATTGAGTCGCCTTTCTTTATTTTCTTTTATATAACATGAAAATTCCTTACCCTGAATTATTTCTCATATTTACTGTTTGGCACTCTTTGTAATACGACTTCTCCTTACAAACAAACAAACAAAAAAAAAAAAAAAGGAAAAAAGAAAAAAAAGAGTACCGATATATGTTGACAAATTTAGCACATTCTCTCTCTAAAAGTTGTTCTCAATGCAGTCTGTGGCTTTTACTGGTACTCCCCTATTTGTTATTGCTGCAATCTGGTTTGTGGGATTTAGCCTTTCTCTGCTCCTCCACTGTCTCTGTTGTTGCTGCTGCCAACGTCGATACTATGGCTATTCTCGAACAGCTTATGCGCTTTCTCTCATTTTTCTCACGTTGTTCACCATTGCTGCAATATATATATATCTCTCTCTCTCTCTCTCTCTGTCACACACACACACACACACACACACACACACACACACAATACCTGTTAAAACCTACCACTACCACCTACTCCACCTACTACACACCTACCTACCTACTACCACCTACTCCACCTACTACTCCACCTACTACATACCTACCTCCTCTAATCTTCTATATATAGGACTCATTGTAAACATAACACATCAATCAATAATACATCAATTTTAACATGGTATCAGAGCAGGTTTAGAACCTAGTATTTTCGCTTCACCGGCAGGCAGCAACCTCACATTGGCCGCCCGCCAGACCTCAACCTAATCCGCTAGAATTTTCTACACATACCTTGAAATTTATTCGAGTCCACCACCACTGCCCCTCCTCTCACTGTTGTCCTCCCATACACCACCGTCTCGGTCGTCTTCATCTACCACCACTGTTGACCTTAACCCGTCGCTTCAGTCCCTTCACTCTGATCAACGGCTGGACACACACACACTGCCGGCACCATCGCAGCCACCTTCGGCATGGCCAACCTCATCACTCGCCCCTTCGGCGGCTTCGCTTCCGACTACTCCGCCAGATTCTTCGGCATGAGAGGTCGCCTATGGACCCTCTGGATCCTCCAAACACTCGGCGGACTCTTCTTCTTCCCTGTTTCCTCATCTGTGATCCGCTGGAAATCCAGGTTCAGATGCTTGAAATTGCGAGTCAGCTTCCCTCTAGGTCCCTCCACTTCGATCATCTTCGCCTTCACTTTGATCTTCACCCCATTTGGGATGTCCATGGTCTCCGACGACAAAATCATCTTCATCTCGCACTCTCTCTCTCTCTCTGTGTTTGTTTGTGCGAAGATCGCCATCTCAGCTGGAAATCCAGGTTCAGATGCTTGAAATTGCGAGTCAGCTTCCCTCTAGGTCCCTCCACTTCGATCATCTTCGCCTTCACTTTGATCTTCACCCCATCTGGGATGTCCATGGTCTCCGACGACAAAATCATCTTCATCTCGCACTCTCTCTCTCTCTCTCTGTGTTTGTTTGTGCGAAGATCGCCATCTCCATGATGATCCTCTTCTCCGCCGGCGCTCAGGCTGCCTGCGGAGCTACCTTCGGCATCATCCCCTTCATTTCTCGCCGTTCTCTTGGAGTCATTTCTGGCATGGTCGGAGCCGATGGGACTTTTGGGTCTGGTTTGACACAGTTGATCTTTTTTTTCACAAGCTCCAAGTACTCCACTCACATAGATTTATCTTAGCTTGCTCAGATGCTATCTCAATGGAAAGTTTTCACTTTTTTTACTAAAGCCACTGCCTTACACACAACCACTTTTTTTTTCATTTTATCATCATCATCATCATGTACCCCACTCTCTCTCTCTCTCTCTCTCTCATTTTTTTCACTTTCCAACCCACCAGCGCACCTGCTTTCCTCCTTAATATATTATTGTTATTATTATTATTATTATTATTATTATTAACCCACAAAAAAATATATATATATATACCGAACCCCATTATCGATTTTCACAAAACAGTGGGACAAGAAATCACGTGAACCACTTTCCTTATTTCCCCCATCTTTCATTTTGATTTCACATTTATTCTTATTATTTCTTTCTTTATTTTTCTTTCACATTATTTTTAATCTTTTTCAAATTCCATTCATACCATATAGCTTTGCACACCAAACCATCTTTTATTCATCTCAGGGATCAACCCCGATCACAATTTTACACACACACACCAAAAAAAAACAAAAAAACCAAACAAAAAAAAAACCAAAAAAAAAAAAAAAAAAACCACAAAAACCAACCCAAAAAACAGGTTCTGAGCCATGTTGATAATAATGGAAAGTGAAATGTGTCTTAGACATTAGTGTCATGATTAACCATCTAGATAAAATTGATTATCTTGGTTAACCATCTATTGAATGCTATAGCTTTATTCAATGCTTATATTTGGTTTAGTATTTTTTCTACTGGGCTGTGGCTCACCCTTTTAGGGAACATCATTTTCAGGTTCAGGTGATAAGCTACCTCCACGGACTTAGCCTGGAAGGATTTGATGTTTGGGATTTTGAAGACTTGTCTTTAGTTATATGTTTTATTTTGTTATTTTTGAGATTTCATGTAAACATTCAAGCCTAGGGCTTAACTTGTAAATGAGTTAGTACTCATCCTTTTTGTGTCCAAGTGTTAGCTTGGAAAGATGTAAGCCCTTAGGGCATTTATTTTGATGTATTAGGATGTTACATGTGATGTCTTTCAATAAGAATACTCTGATGAATAACTCAAATGATTCATTTTCTTTTATAAATGCATGTTAATGTTATGGTTATTATGGGTTTATTTTGAGGGCGTTACATATTCCGCCGGTCTTTTCTTCTTGCCTCCGTCCTGGGCGGCCCTTGACGGTGTTGCCTCCATGTTTCCCACTCCACTGGGCACGATCACTCCACCCTGCTCCTCCACTACAGCATATGGCGGACCTCCAAATCGGAACATAACGGTGGCCTTCCACTTTAGCTCCTTATTTTCCGTCTTTAGCACACTTATCTCTGCTCGCGCCTCCTTATACATGCGCTGGAGCAGAGCCAGTTGGGCGTTTAACTGCTGCACCTCATTTGTCCTACTCTGCAGCCGGTGCAACAAGTTTGTGACCGCAGTCATGGATTCCACACATGACTTCAATGTATACTGATTGGCTTCAATATCCGTTTGCACTGCCATTTTTTGTTCCACAGACCGCATCGGAAAGTTCAACGGCGCAAAACCAGTGGCGCTTGGTTGCGGTTCAAGGGCCACCGCACCAGTTATTTCTCTTGTGGACTCGTTGAGGTCTGGAAAGAGAGTGAGCAGACCACGGGAAGAAGAGGTCATTTTCTGGGCAACCGAGTGTTACAGAGTCTCTCTCTCAGAAAACGAAGAGTTTTTCAGAGGTTTTTCGCAAGTTTTTGTCTTCGCCTCTGCCTCAGCCTCAGCCTCCGTCTTGGTTAAATAGCCCAGGCCGACACGCGCATCGTGCGCCGCTCGGCGCTAGACGACAACATGGGCGCGCAAGCCAAGTCACGCGCATCGCCATAATGTCCGGCACACCTTTTTATGGATTGGGCACGCCTTTTGATGGCACACCTTTTGAAAGATTGGGCACACCTTTTGAGGATGCGACTTTTACAACGGTCCGGCATGACCCCATAAAATTGTCCCGACATTGATTCCGGTTAGCTTTTCCAGCGGTCCGGCATGACCCCATAAAACTGTCCCGACATTGATTCCGATTAGCTTTTACAACGGTCCGGCATGACCACATAAAACTGTCCCGACATTGATTCCGGTTAGCATCTCCATCGGTCCGGTGTGACCTCGTCAACTGTCCAGACTTTATCTGCTACAACGTTATGACACAACCATCCAGTGTCCTCTACAACGTTATGACACAACCATCCAGTGTCCTCTACAACGTTATGACACAACCATCCAGTGTCTTCACCAACGGTCTGATACGACCATACAGTGTCTCCTATCCTCTTTTATTTTATATATTAGTCTATTTTCTTGTTTTTCTCCTCTCTCCAAACTCACGTTGGTTAGTTCCTATCCCCCTTGAGTTTGCGGGGGGCTGTTAAAACCTACCACTACCACCTACTCCACCTACTACACACCTACCTACCTACTCCACCTACTACTCCACCTACTACATACCTACCTCCTCTAATCTTCTATATATAGGACTCATTGTAAACATAACATATCAATCAATAATACATCAATTTTAACAATACCTACGAGTTTAAATTGAATATTTGGATTTGGATCTATTTATCTGAGAGTCCATTGTTGTTCTATGTTTTTGATTTCAGCATTGGATGCGTTGTTTTATATACTGGACAAGGGAAGTTCCATACTAGCACATCGAATACATTGGACTATGTCGTGTGGCAAGCTAACACCACCGTTGAGAGTCTTTGGAGTGTATTGGATTATCTTGAAGCAGCTAAGCATATCAGAGCGGATCAACTTTTTTTGCCTCCTGATGTTCAAAACAACATCAACAAGGTCGAAACTGACATTAATACTGCTACTACAGCTCTTGAACATGAGGCAAGGAGGAACTAGAAGGATATACAGAGCGTTCTGAACTCCATGTGAGTAGATCCTTACTATATATATATATACACTAGAAGATGTTCATGCTGTTGGTTAAATATCCCAACTACTTTTGAATTTGGTACTTAGTCACACCTAACTCAAATAATTTTATTCCCAAAAATTACTTACAAAAATTCTCTTTTTTACAAGTATAAAATGATTAAGAGATGTAAAACCCTTACAATTTTGCTTAAGCTCTCAATAAGTTTTCTCACAAAAAATATAATTCAATGAAACATAATATAATATTTGAAAATATTTTAATACCACCTATTTTTCTCTTCTTCACTTCTAATTTTTTTTCCAATCAAAACACTTTTATCTATACCAAAAAATTCTTCTCGTTGAGAGAGAAGAGACGCTCCTTTTCAGTCTTGCATGTCACGTAGAGACAGAACCTAGGCCCCTATTTTTGACTTGTTAGCTTGAGCATGCGGAGGAAATACACGCGAGGCAACCATTAAAAGATGAATAGTAATTTCAATATTTTCAAAATATTTGTCGTAAAATTAAATGATGCACAGTGACTGTATAGTAACTTTTCTATTAAAATATTTGAATGCATAGTGACTTCTTTATTAAAATATTTGCATGCACAGTAACTTCTCTATTAAAATATTTGTATGCACAGAAAAATCTATTTAAATAACATTTAAATTAAAATTTATATACTCCTTTTAAGCTTTTTGTAATTATTGTAGAGATTTTAGATACATTCTAATAAAAATAACCAACCATCCCATGTGAGTACATCAAATTTTATCAAAAGAAAACAATTCATCAATATCACATTTGTCAAAAGATAAATAGTGACCAACCGTATTTTTCAAAATGTGAATAGTAAATGTTATAAAATATTTTTTGTAAAATCAGATCTTGCACAGTTATTTCGATTTAAATAATATTTATAAAAAATACATCAAACAATATATATTTTAAACATATAATATTTTGTGTCAAAGAATATAAAATATGTAAAAATCCCAATTTATCTGATAATATCTTAGATATCATCAAAATTAAATCACATAATTAACATTATTAATTTTAGAATATTTATACTAAATTAAAATAATCCTAATCAAATAATATATCAAAATTATAAATTCTTAAAATATAAATATCTCTAATATCTTGTCCAACATCATAATCTTTCTATACAACAATGAAATTGTCAAAATTGTTAATTAAAAAAACTATTAAAAATTATTTGTTGACTTGACGATTGATTAATGAAAATGATTATTTGTTATACGACTAGAAATTTTAAAAAGCAAAATGTAATTTTCAAAATTATAGAAATAATTAACATTTTAAGTAAATCTCAAGAGTCACATTTGTAATTTATCCTAATATTTAACTATCCATCCTATTGTTTGTACTATCTATATTGTACACTGAGTTGGTGTCTAAAGCATTTCCTTTTCTCCATATCACGTGAAATTTTATACTTCTAAAATAACCATTATCATTACTTAAAATTTCACTTAATTTTTTTATATTTTTTATTGTTGTCCTCGTTGTCTATGGTAAATTTCTTTTAGAAATTTTCAATTATTTTTTATAAACTTTTTAAACTTTTCTACACTCGATGAATCTGAAAGCTAAAATATATTACACAAATTTGAAACGAAAAATAAACAATAAAGACAAAAAATTCAAAAAAAATGACTTTTTAAAGCAGATCCTAATACATGTTTTAAAAACATCTTCATATATTTTCACAACAAAAAGTCTAGTGTAATAAAAATTATTTCATGAAATCTGTCGCAAAGGCGTGTCGGTTAACCTATCAGTTGATCCTAGTTTGCCAATTGATCGGACGATGATCTCGCAACAATTTTTATTAAACGTTTTTCGTCATTTGCAGCATTGTTATTTTCACAAAAACCCATTCTTCCACTGTCATTTTTTTTATTAACAAAAATCAATTATTAATCGATAGATTAATTCTTAAACCCCGAACCTTTCTGTTGTAAATTCTTAAATACTGCTACCATGCTATCATACCACTAGATCACGAGGACATGTGTTACTTTCATTTCTATATGTATCCGTACCCGCGTTAGGATGACTTAGGTATGAGACTCTACTACTCAAAGTGTCCTTTATGCTGTGTTTGGTTGGAGGATTTGGGAATGAATTTGGAAAAGAAAAGAGAAAAGATGTGTGAAACTATGTGAAATTTAAACATATTTTATTCTTATTTTACCTACCTTAAAAAATTCGGAAGAGACTTCACGTTGGTGGTTAGAATGAAGCCAAGTTTAGGGTTTTAACCCCATATGCAGCTAATAAGAAAGAAAAACATGGCACAAAAGAATTGAAACAATGGAAGCAACCTCTGTTGCGGATCGGGGGCACACCAGGGAACTCAAACAAGCAATAACACACAAGATTTAACGTGGTTCGGCAAGTCGCCTACGTCCACGGGCAGCGGATTCACTATATTGAACAAAAGGGTAAGAATTACAACACTCTCTGTAATTCTCTCTCTCTGTTATCTCAGCTATTCCTCAACTCTCCTTAGCTTCTCTATATATAGAGCCCATTGTTGTGCTTTCGATGGCTTTACAGATTGAAGCTTCACATGGCTTCTCATGGCCTCATGGTTATAAAGAAATTACACTGTTTGGTGGATTAATTCAATTCCAAGTAATTTGGACTATTAGAAGGAGAAAGGAGGTCCATATAAGGCATCAATTCCATTAATTCGATCAACAAATTCTGAAGCTGACGTTTTACTTGCTTACGAGATGAACGGAGAGGTAGGAAATTTTAATGCATTGTTGCTTGCGTTGTTGCGGATCGGGGGCACACCAGGGAACTCAAACAAGCAATAACACACAAGATTTAACGTGGTTCGACAAGTCGCCTACGTCCACGGGCAGCGGATTCACTATATTGAACAAAAGGGTAAGAATTACAACACTCTCTGTAATTCTCTTTCTCTGTTATCTCAGCTATTCCTCAACTCTCCTTAGCTTCTCTATATCCACTTCGTGTGGTTGTCCCCGGTGTTATAGGTGCCCGCTCTGTAAAATGGTTGGATTCAATCAACATAATCGGAGAAGAATGCCAGGTTGGTTATGAAAAATGTAAAAATTAGAGTTCTCCAATAATTATGACCTTTCACTTGTAAATTAAATTATATCTTACACAATAATCTGTAACGACAATAAACAGGGTTTTTTCATGCAAAGGGACTAGAAGAAGTTTCCTCCTTCGGTTAACTGGGAAAATATCGACTGGTCCACTCGAAAGCCTCAAATGGATTTTCCAGTCCAGGTTTGTTCTGTGTATTTGACAGTGGAAATTACATAGCGTTCACAAACGGAACCATTATGAGTGTAACACCCTCAAAATAATAACATTAAACCCAACAAATAAGACATGCATTGATATTCAAAAGTTCCACATGCTTTCATTTATCAGAGTTTCATTACAAAAAGTATTACATGTTAACAACAAAAGCAAATGCCCTACAGGCTTACAGCTTTCCAAGTTAACACTTGGTTACAACAAAAGAGTACTAACTCATACACATTAAGCCCTTGGCTTGTATTTACATGTAATACATCAAA